GAATAAACCAGCACGGTTATATTTTTTTATATATCCAAGTGGTCTGCGTCGTCTCTCAGAGTTCCTGGTTGAAAGAACTGGGTAGTATCTTTCAGCTGCATGGAGAAATAATACAGGCTGCAAAAAGATAGCTGTACTTAGACTGACAGGTGAGAGGTTAATGTCAGTGAAGTGACACAAAGCTGTATAATTTACAACTTTAAGCTTTGCTGGTATGACCCTGCAAGCCATTCTGGCTCCTAAAATTTACATATACAACCCTGACCATGCCATTTACTGTCTCCTCTGCTTTTTGCCACATCACACAAACTAGACAGCACCCTGGGGAGTGCAACCTCTATGGAGATAAAATACTATCAAAAATGTTACAAAAGCGTGTTTAACGTTTTGTCTGTAACAAGCGAGTTGTGTGTGTGTGTGTGTCATGAGGATCACAAATGCGTGCTGCGCAATCTGCACGTATAAAGCCATTTGTGTGTGCCATGCTGTTCACAAATGCGTGCTGTACAAACTGCACATAAAACACATTTTACAAATGCTTAAAATCGATTTTTTGTGTGTAGTTCTTTAGAAAGTACTACACATTGTTACCTACGCATGCGTGGATCGTCTAACGCACACGAATCACCTTCCGCGCACACACGGATTTTTGAGAGTGTTTTCCCGCACTTTCAAAAGTCCACTATCCACGAATTCACGGTGCGTTTAAGGACACGTGGAAAACGCGGACATCTGAGTTTCCAAACCCGTTTCCCAAACAAAAGTATTTACACAATGCTATTCCAAATGGACATTACATAAAATAAACAAAAATATCTAATAGATAACACGTTTTAACAGAGAACATTCCAGTTGCCTGCAGTTTGTGGTGCATATTCTAAATTTTTATATAATTAGAATTTAGAAGTTATGAAGCAGCCCTGCGATGGATTGTCGACCTGTCCAGGGTGTACCCCGCCTTCGCCCGATTGCTGGCCAGGATTGGCTCTGGTGACCCCATTCAGGGACTAAACGGTAGAAAATGAATGAATATCTGGAGATCATACAGCAAGCTCCATAAACCTCCACCAGGGGGTAACTCAGTTTCCCCATGATGCCATAAAAGCAATATTCCCATGTTAGTGTGACCCTTATAATATTATTACCTGACCATGAAAAACCTTCTGTTGACATCAGTAGTTTGAAAGTCATTAAAGAAAAATGGCAGACATTCACTTGTTGGTTTAGGGGTACAACAGGGACTTCAGTGAGCGGTCCAAAGTGGCAAAGTGGTGAAGATGTCACAATTCTGCAAGTTTGTGTTCTGTTTGTTCAAAAGCTGTTGGATAAACTTCTCAAATAGTCTCCGTTACTGGCCGATTATTGCACTATGGAGTGATCCTTCACATCCTCCTCTGCTCAGCTGTGAGTGAGAGGTGCACGGCCCCTCCCTCCTCTAAACAGAGACAGACACAGGGAAAAATACAGTGGAAATGCAAAACAGGACAGTCTGCATCCACCCATGAGGTTATGTCAGGTGACAGTTAAGGGAAGCATGGGGTGTACTGCTTGTTTATGTTTTGACAATGGAAACTCAGATATAATGTGTGGCGTCCTTGCTGACACACTACTGTGCTCTGACTGAGATATAGCTGCCTCACATTGGCTTTGTCTGGAGGGGTCCGTTTGAAAAAGTGACACCTGAACACACTGCACAGACTAAAGCCAATGGCCAACTAACAAATACATTCTTCACCAGCATGACAGAAATAACTCTCCCTACCAGCAGGTGGCGGCATCTGTATTTGCCATTCAGAAAAGGAAAGAAGAAGAGCTGGAATGCAGAAGTATAAGCTAGAAACAAAGCACTTCTAGGTGAGAGACACACCAGGAGGAAGAGCCCTGACAGACACCCTCTTTCTTTCCCAAGAGATAATCACTTGCACAACACATAAACATTGTCTTCTTCAGGGAGCACAATAATCAAAAGAGTAATCTCATTATGTTGTCCTGTTACCTGTGTGTCTTCAGTTCACTGATCAGAAGGCTAGCCAGTTTCCTGCGGTCTCGAACTCCTGTTTCTGCCCCCTCTGCTGATGTGACTTGTACTGGCCCTGGACCTGCTGCCCCATTCTGTACTGGCCCTGGACCTGCTGCCCCATTCTGCACAGGCTGTGGCTGACGCCTCCTGGGTCTCTGCCACTGGTCTACATAGAGCTCTCTGACCTGTGCAGAGGATCATTTCAAGTTAGTTTTGTCTTGAAATGAAATGAAAAGGGAAAAAAAAACTGTCAAGCTGCTGTTATGATTTCTTATTAGCACATAATGGTGTCCGCACCAGTTTTCAGAAAGAACTAAATCAGAACCACCTACTTGTTTAATACTCTTGTGAAAGCATAGCAGTTTTTTTTAAACAGTCAAGAGCTTTTTCTTTTTTACTGGAGGTTTCATTTGAGTAAATTACACCAGCCCTCCCTTTTTTTTTATTTTACTGGAGGTTTCGTTTCTGAGTAAATTACACCAGCCCTCCCTTTACTGCAAACAGTGATTATGGCTTGAGTTAAAGCCCTCATTTCCAAAATGACTCATTACTGCTTTTGGGTTTAAATTATTACATTTAAGAGAATGTTTAATAGTTTTAGAAGAGTTGCTGTGTTTTAACCGATTGTGAAGCATTCAATACACAAAAACAAAAGTGACTTTTTTAACCAAATAGCTTACACGTCTTTTAGAAAATGTACGACACTTTACTCTTAATGAGTTGAATAATATCAAACCTCTTACAAAACACACACGTACACAAAGGAGCAGTTTCTCCAATGAATGATAAAACAGTGGTTTAGTCTATAACATATCTGTGGTGCACAAGTTTATAGTTTTATGTAATCTTTGCTTTGTGGAAAATATTGGATAATTTCTCCTCTTTGGGCCTTGAATGGGTATTAAAATAAATACATTACGTAGCAAATGCAAATCTCTGCAGGAGAGTGATTAACCTGTTGAAATCTAACAGAAGGAACTGTACCAGAAGCCTTTGCATAGCCCCAGGTGTTACAAAGATGGCTGTAATAAAAATGCTCATAAATATAAAAGAGGGCATCCTTGTTATTTGGTAATCCAGATTCTAAGAGATATTTGTGTCTATACTTTACATTGTTTCATGACCATGTGACGCAGGTTCCTAACCTGCTGCTATTTATGGTGTGAGACGTGTTACAGATTTTAAGTCTAACTTAGAGCAATTTATCTCTGATAAAAGTTGTAAATGACATCTAAATAAGTAGGCACATGCCAAAAGATCTACAATGAAGTTCTGACTAGTCAAAACTCCAGTTTCAGATATGTACAACTGAATTTCTACTAATCAATTCTTTATTTATTCAAACAGCTAATTAAGATACATTTTAAAAGTATCTTCAGCTGGAATTAGGCCTATACTGGTCAAAATGCCGTTAAATAAGTCTTTCATTTCAATACACTGCCGATATTTCAAATATAAACCAATTTAATGCTAAAACAGTTTGTCATAGAAACGGTCTACGGTGAAAACACAGTATCCCAGTGACGAGCTGGCGTTGTGTCTCGACAAAACAGAAAGCCAAATGCTTCACACTAACTCAGCATTTTCACATTTCTAACTCCATGGCATTAAAACTTATTATCACATGGCTATAAGATCTAATGTAGACGTTCATACCGCGGAGCTGAAGTAAATGTTGTCTTTTCGTCTCGTTATTTTGCCGGACACCTTCAGCGCATAAAGGACCGAACCAAAGTTTGGATATTTTAGCTCTGCATCCCTGAAACAAACACAAAAAGTACAAAATAATAATAATATAAAACTGACACAAATAAGCTACGCAGAGGTCTCGTACATGGTTAAGAACGACTAACCTGGTCTTGAACTTTTGGTTGTAAATTTCTCGTAGCTCCAGTCTGTTTACGATGGATGCTCGATCAGTCTCCTTTAAAAACCCAAAAAAGTCGAGTCCAATTTGGCGGCGTTCAGATAAGCTGTTCCTAACCATTATCAAAGTTATCCAAACACACCATCCGAGATGATCACCTGAACACGGATATGAAGCGCACCAACAGACGGGTTACATTTACATCTCCAGCGGGGGAAATCCAGTACACTGGCGATCGTTTTATTTTCCCGGACAGTCCACGCGGGCGGTCTCTCTGTCTGCTATGTTGCGGAGCTGCAGCGTTGACACTGTCATGTTCAGAGACATAAAACAAGTGCACCCACACATCCAGACCGGAGAAACGAAACTTAATGTTAAAAGAGCCAAATGGGCGGAACGACAATATAAACACAGATGATGCGCACAGTAATATGAAACACCTGATTGTGATGAGTCAGTCAGTGAACCGGTCAGAAATATTGACTTCATGTTTGTCTTTAAGCGACGGTTGGAGAAGGTAAATGCTCATATTTTAACCTTTATAATAGGTGTCCTTTATAACTGTACCACACACCAGAGCTACCGAGCGCACTACCCTGTTAGTAAATGTAGAGTGTACATTCTTACTAGTTTAACTTTCATTGCTGATTCAGCGTAAAGTATTCACAGACATCATGTGATAGCAATTTTCGGTTTGTTCACTTATATTGTTCATTTATGCTTCAAACTGTAGTCTGTTAACGCCTGTGGTGAACTGTGCCACACTGAATGTCTAAACTCTCTTCTGTTTTCTGCATTGTTAGGATTGGATTTCAGGAGTTAAAGTTATTTTTCTACTTATCATCAGTATTATTTTGCTTTTATAATGGAAAAGTTCAGTATGACTATTTGTCTGTGTTTCATTAACAGCTCCATGTATCAGTATTAACCAGCTCTTATGCATGCATTATAGTTATAATATTCAGTTTTGAGACAACTTGTAGTATTTCTTGTCCTCTTGGTGAAATGTGCATAAATTGATTGCAGAGATAAGTGTCATCCTGAAAACTATAGATAAGATGGTAACTGCATGTCTACTTTCAGAAACGCCTGAAAATACCAACACACACACACACACACACACGCTGCTTATTCGAACATTCTAGAAGATTTGCATGAACCTTGTGTCCAGTTCATGTTGTAAGTGTAGAGCCAACAGATTAGAAGATAATGAGTTCATATCTGTATGAACCGTGTATGAACCTCATGTCCTGTTCATGTTGCAAGTGTTGAGTCAACAGATTAGAAGATAATGAGTTTCCACCCATGTACAGGGCAGTCCCAGCCTGAGAAGATATATGTGAATTACTTCCTATTATCAGAGCTCTTGGAGACTTGTCATCTCTCAGAGCCCAGCGCTGTAATAACTCTGCATTTAACCAGAAGAAAATAAATCTACGTAAAGCTGATTCCTGTTTCCTGAGTTTTACTTCTTGGGGCCTTCAGATAAAAGAACTTGTTGAATCTAAAAGCATAACAACAGATGTAGCGTAAATAGTCCTTGAAAGTATAATTTCCCTCCTTCAGAGTACCTCTACTATACCATGGGAGGACAAGGACCTTTGCCCAACGAGAAACACACGTGCATAACTGTTATCAGTGTAGATTCCTTTTCTCGGATGCCTCCCAACCCTGTGTAAAAGCTTATATATGACTGAGCTCCCTTTGTGCTTCGAGCCTCTCTAACAGACCTCTCTGAGTGCTGTTGTAGACAGCTCCTTCCTGCAACAATTAAAATACAAAAGACACATCTATCTCATTTCTTTTTATTTTACACCAGGTCAGAAGAGTTTGCTAAATGAAACAGAGTCCTTGCTCTTAGCAAGATGGTTATCAGTGCTGCTCCTGGGGACGTAAAACCTTTTTTCTGATAGAAGCATCTTGAACTCCTTGTAAAAGGTGTTTTGGGCTTTGAAAAGTGTGGGATTCCCCATCCCTTCCCCCCACTGTAGCCCTATCTTTATTTTACAGTGTTTCCTGTCCTGCATGTCTTTCTGGAAACTGTAGTCATAAAGCTGACAAAATGAAACTATCAGACATCGATGCTAACCATGCCTTTGTTATTTCAGGTGGTGAACAGCATCATTTGAAAGTGAGCTAATCTGTAACATCTTTAAAATACTTTACATTTAATTATAATTTTACATATTTTACAAACAAGTATCATTTAAACATACTTGGTGACCTTAAAACTTGTTTACATTCTTCCACTTTTGGTTTCCCTCTGTTGAAGAAATACCCCAAAGTCCTGTTGGGAGGTTTGCTGTAGCGGTGTGTCACACCAGCACAGAGGACGGAAGCCAACCAAGAAGAATTGCATTTATACAGTACACCAAAGGCTCCTGATCAGACAGTATGCAAAAACAGTTGTGACCAGTGGGTGGACTATGTATGTAGAAGCCATGGTGGATATCAATATCAAGTTCACTCGTGAGGATGCCAAAGATGACTGTCTGGCCTTTTTGGACTGTTCGGTCCACATAGGAGGAGACAGAAGCCTTAAGGTGGAAGTATATCAGAAACTTGCACACACGGACCAGTACCTTCTTTTTGACTCACACCATCCACTACAACACAAATTAGAGTTATCAGAACCCTAGATCACAGGGACAAGGAAGTGCCCACCACTGCAGAAGGGATCAAGAAGGAGAATCTACACATCCAGAACTCCCTTAAGGTTTGTGGATACCCTAAGTGGGCCTTCACCAAAGCAAGGAAGAGGCTCAGCACCAACAGGGATAAACTAGGAACAAGAGGGGATAACAATGCCATATCCCTTATGTGGCTGGTTTATCAGAGAAGCTGTTAGGTTATTTTTTAGTTAGATAGATATTCAGAGATTTGTTGTCTAGGAATGTTTAGTGCAGACAGGTTGACTAGCCCAGGCTGTTAACTGTTCAGCCTGCAGTGCAGACTGCAGGCAGGTCAAGGTTACAGGAAAAGAGCTGTTAGTGTCAACTGTAATGCTAGTCTTAATATTTGTCTTAATGTGTAAGGTTATGTCCAATTGTTTTAGATACACACCACGAAAACAACAGTCACGCACCTTGACTTTTCCTCATGTTTTGGCTAAACGTTATAGCAGCTGCAAGGCTTGCTTATCGGGTGACGTCACGGTTCGACAGCCCAGAAAGGATTAATATTGTATAGCAATGCTTGGGTCGGGGTCTTTTGGGTTTCCGGGCTGCTTTGGCAGCCTGGGGGTTGGAAGATCTCTGGACTGGAAGTGTGAATTCTTGCCTGTGACTCTTTGAATAAACCAGCACGGTTATATTTTTTATATACTCAAGTGGTCTGAGTCGTCCCTCGGAGTTCCTGGTTTGAAAGAACCGGATGAGGCTTTATAATGGTTCTCAGCCTATAACAGGTAAAATTAACATCACACGTCCAGATCTCTCTCACTACCAAAACCTGCGCGCAGGCAGCTTGGAAAGATGAAAGACCCTGGACCAAGAAACCTATATAATTTTAATGATTCTGGGCTAGCCCCATACTACGCAGGGACGTCAAAC